TAGATTAAACTTATTATTGTGAAAGACACATTGCTATTAAACCCCATCAAAACATTTTCCTCACTTGGAATACACTTCTCCATGGTTCTTACCACTTTCTGAGGCAGTTCTGGAAGTCGTCTTCCCTGGCTGTCTTCACAGGGTATGAACAAATATACAGGCATTGCTGCTGCCCAGGGCCATTGGATGGAAAGGCAGGTGTGTGAAGGGTCATGGTGTATCCTCGCCCACTTTATTCACAAATTAAGCGCTGCACACTCCTGGCTTTTTCCCCAGCACAAAAATGACCAGGACGGTGAATGCACTGAGTCAATTCAGGACACCAAGGCAGCCAGGACAGAGTGATTAGACCCTCAGGAGAGAGGACGCCAGAGCTGCTCCAGAAAGTGGCAAAGATGGTAGGACAAGTGTCTTTGGAGTGCGGCGAAGGAGCCTGAAGGGATTCATGGCCACTTGTCTTTTATTGTGATAAACACTTTTTAAACATTTGAACATCCACTGTAGTTTTGGAGCCCACTTCAAAGCCACTGTGTAGAAAACCATAATAGAAATGGTTCAGTTTAGCACTGTGCATGTTTAGAGATACTCCATTACTCAAGGGAGAACTTTTGTGCAAAGTTAAGCCCATGGTGATGAATATGGTGTCTCTAAAGGACAAGCGCTGAGTGAGGGTGTCAGACATGCTGTGGATGGAAGTGAACTTGCATTTCTCTCTATTGTATTCTATTTAAAAGACCAAACTATGCTGCTTTCACTGTTTAACTTAAATTTTGCCCCTTGAGTATTTATTATCATCCCATACTATGTCTTGAGGTGACACTAATCACCTCTCTGTTTATTCTTAAAATTCCCAACAATTTGTAAGTGTCTAGATTATGGCATAATTAAGGTGATCTAAATGTATTTTCCAATGAATAGCTTTTTTTTTTCTATGACTATTTCCAAGAAACCAAATTAGGTAGTCATTGCGTTCTTGAGTATGTATTATCTCAAACAGTAATCAGAATCAGTGAAAGCTTGGCTGGCTCTATTCTGAAGTGAAGAGCACACATGATTTTCAGATTGGACTGATGCATGCCCTGTATAGAACCAGAGCAAATACTTGGGTCAAAAAGTTAGACGCTGTGTTGTCCTCCACTTCAGCCCCAACTGGAGCAGGCACTGCAAGGAGACTGTGCTTTGGCTGTGCTGTCAGGATGCAGTTTCCCCGTGGCTCCACTCTCTAGCCTGCAACTGAGTTGAGAGGTCACTAGTGTTGGCAGTTTCACTGCTTTAAAATTAGAGATGCTTGAATAATCACCAAAGGCTCTTTCCCGCCATCCAAGAGAAGGGGCCAGTGCAGGGGTTGAGGAAAGCCACCAATGATCCTGCGACCCTCGCCCATCAGGAGTGTGAGTGAGATCCATCTCAGCTGAGAGGCACAGGTTCTGAAGGACAGGAAGAGGCCGTCTGAATGGAGCATCTGCTCTTGAATTCAAATTGTAAAGTAACAAAATCAGAAGTAACATATTTGTTAGGATATAGCAAAGTACTTACAGTCCATGAGCAAAAATTGCAGAGAACAGTCAGGATTCTAAAAATATATTCCTGTAAAAGATACATGGGCCACGAATCCCATCAGATGCTTTCCTTCCATGAAATCACACTCATCCCATCTCTGTTGACACTGTCTGAAGCAGTTCTGGAGTCCTCCTTCATGAGTGTCTTTAGCTGCTCTGCCTTGGCTGCCTTGATGTCCTAAATCCTGCAGTCATTTTGAATTTGGGGAAATCCAGAAGTTTCATGGTGCCAGGTCCAGTGGATAAGGTGGACTAGGGTGGAGTATTGTGGGTGCTTCTAGGAGCTGCCTTTCTACTGTATGACCCATGGCAACAGGACCTAAAGACACTCGGAGAGAGGACTCCTGCTTCAGAGTGTGGCCAGGATGATGGAGTAAGTGTGCTGGCAGTTGCGGAGGGTATCCTAGTGGGGAGGATCACTAGTGGCAGCATGTCTCTGAGTATAATAAAATATTTTAAAAAGTAAACATTCACCATATATATTGATCACTACTCCTAAGATGAGAATACCCTTCACAGAACAAGCTATCCATTTTCCCTGATGTACAGTGGTAGACATAGTCCACTGAAATCTAAGACGTATGAAGTTTGTGTATTGTTCCTTTCTTTCCTTTATTCCTATATATTGTATGTTCATCTCTTATGTGGCAATATTGTATTCTTTCAAACATGTGTGGACCTGATTTATTCAAGCATAGTCCTACTAAATTCATCTGAAACAGTACTTTTTCGATATTATTTTGGAGGATAACTCTGTACTTCCAGAAATGATATCGATTAGTCGCAGCGTTAATAGTCTCTCTTTTGAAAATGATGAGAATTGGATACATCACATAGGTCCGTGCTTTGAAAGATGTACGTAGGCACTGTAGCAAGGTTCAATCTCATCTGTTGCCTTACCTGCTCCTGGCGTTTGTAGTGTGAGGAGAATATCTGAACTCTGTGTCGCAGCATTCGGGAAGGAGGGTATCTGATGCACCATGGTCGCTGTGCTGTACTGAGGTCTCCTGAGCTCACTGCTCAAACTGGAACTCGGCGTCCTATTTTTCCCAGTCTTCCTCCCCACTCCAGCCACTGATAATCACCATTCTACTCCACTTGTCTTAGTTCTGTTTGTAAAGATGCTACAACTAAGTGAGATCGTGCAGTGCAAGTCTCCCTGTTCATTGGCTTATGACATTTAACACAATCTCCTCCTCGGGGTTCATCCATGCTGTTGAAAATTATAGGATTTTCCTTTATTTCTTAATGCTGAATGGTGTTTTATTTTATGTGCATGCTTCCTTTTCTGCGTCCATTTATGCCGTGGTGGATGTGTGGCTTTATTCTATATTTTGTCTATTATTTGTGCTGCTGTAAGGAACTGGGAACGCAGGTGCACCCTGATACGCTGCTCTCCTTGCCTGTGAATATGCCATATTGGGATGCTGAAACACATGGTAGCTCTGTATTTTACTTTTTAAGCCTCCATACTATTTCCATAATGGCTGTACTAATTTATATCTCCACCAACAATGCCCAAGAGTTCCCTTGTCTCCACATCTTTGCCAACCCCATATGTTTTTTTCTTTTCAAAGTAGCTATCCTAGGATGTGTGATGCTATGGTTTCTAGTCCCTGATGTTTATTAGCAGCGAGGTCCTTGTTATGTACCCGTTGTCTGTTTCTATGTCTTCTTTTCAGAAATGTCTACTTAGGCCCTTTGCTCATTTCTAAAGAGGATTACTTGCACATTTCCTTTTGAGTTAATTGGGACTCTGGTATAGTTTGGATACTAACTTCTTGTCAGATACAAGGATCACAAATGTTTCTCCCACCCTGCAGGCTTTCTCTTCATTCTGTTGACTTGTCCTTAACTTTGCTTAAGATTCTGAGACTAAGGCAATCTCATTGGTCTATTTTTGCTCTCCTGGCCTGAGCATTTGGAGCTTTGGGTTCATGATTGCTTTTACTGAAACAAATGCAGTTCGCTGGGAGCCCTCACAGGCACACTGGGTGTGGGAGAGGTGCTAGCGAGAGGGTGGAGGTCCTGTTGGAGCAGAGAATATGCGGATATCAGAGCTGCTTTCAAACCCATATTCTTAATTTGCCTCAGTTTTTCAATGTGGTCCAGGGGTTTAAACACAGATCAATGATAAAGGAATATGTAAAGCTATGTCTACAAATTAAAACTGTCTCAAATAATGGCAGTGACTGATAATGCAACTGAGAATTAGGTTTGTGTTTTGGGGTTTGTGCTTTTTCCTGAAGAGTACATGTTTTGTACCTCTACTCAAGATTTTCTCAAAATTATTTTCATGTAACTCGAGTTGCTCATGGATCCTGTTGAAAAGTGGGCTTCCTAGACATGTACATCTGGGCAGTTGGTCTTGCTCTACACTCTCTTACATAGGCAAATAAACTAGCTGAGAAGATCTTCAGAAAGGTTTCAGTTTTGTTGACCCTGCTTGGGTGACTTTTCATACTTCCCGGAGCCTCCAAGAAGAGCGAGTGTCGCTGGTGTGGGGGCCGCTGCCGCCACAGCCCAGGAGAAGCCCCTCCCTGGTGCTGCGTAGCAGGAATGGCAGCTTCTGTCTGTTCTCCTCTGCTCTCCGATCCACTGTTCTCTCAGTACATCTACTTGGAGATCTTCATATTCTGGCTGCCCCCAGAGACTCCTCCCCAGCCCCTGGCCATTGTCTGACAGAAACACAAGCAGAGTTCCTTCTGGTAGGAACAGGCTTCTCACAGAGTGACATATCACTGCCGTCCCCTCGGCGCCAGCCGTGAGCGCGGCTTGGCAGGAGCACGGGTGTGTGGGCCTGGCAGTGTCCTCACTCGGCTGCACACACCTGCCCCACACGTACTCCAGTGTTAATGGTTACAACCTTGAAGCTTCGTGTTTGCAAATCAGCTCTGGAGACGGGCAGTTCTCCACCCAATGCTAGGCCAGACAGATTGCCATTCTGTGAAACAAATGACTCTTTTCCTATTACATGTATTTCAGAATTATGTCTCCGGCCTGCTTTCGAATTTGATAAATGTTTATGACAGGACCATCCATCCTTACTGAGGCATTTCCTTCACTGGGACCTTTTCAGTCTCTGCTTTTGAAAGCTATTTATTCAAAGGGCTTCATGACCAGCTTTGCTTTCTCTTACTGGCCCCCAGTTCTTTTGCACACAGTGGCCCCTGTAAGCTGCAGTTCTCAGTGAGGCTACCCTGTGCTGTCTCCTCGGTTTCCGAGATGCCAAGTCCCGGTTGTGTGTTTGCTTGGCTGATAGAAGAGGCTGAGCTGCTCCAGGGCAGCCTCTCCCTTCCCCAGCCTCGCCCAGCCTCTCCCTGTCCCTGCAGCACACCTGGGGATGTCTTATCTGAGGACACCATGGAAGCCCCTCTGTCGTCCCTTTGCTAGCAGGACTTCTATGAGTAATTCCGATTACTTTGTTTCTTTGCTGCTTAGGGTCGGTGCCAGTGTGCAGTTTTCCTGCGAAGACAACTACGTGCTCCAGGGTTCCAAGGCCCTCACATGTCAGCGGGTGACGGAGACGCTTGCAGCATGGAGTGACCACAGGCCCATCTGCCGTGGTAAGGCGCCTGCTCACTGTGGCCCGGCCCCTCCCTCGGGGTGGGCATCTTTTCCTGAACATTCAGTGAGGTTTCAAAGCTAAGCACCGTGTGCAGATAGAGAAGAACTTGGCCATAAGGGTGTGGTTGGAAAAGAGATGTTTTCTCCAGACGTGTTAGGAGGTGAACGCCTCCCGCGGCACCAGCGTTCTCACGTTTCCACAGACACAGCAAACTGCACAGCTCACACAGCCCCGTCCAGTGTCCCTGTGTCCCTCATTCTGTACACACGGATGCACAGCCAGGTCTTTTGGAGAGTTGTATGTGCCTGCCTGTGAGTCTGAAAACTCTCTCATTTCATTTATAGAGAGACTGAATTCTTGGGATTTCTTTTTATGGGTGATGAAGGATTTTCTTAGCATGACCCTCAACTGTCCTTTTACGGAGAACTGTTTTAAGTCATCCCTGACATCACTGGTGGAGCAAAATCTTTGTCACCATGATGGCCATCTTCAAAGAAAACAAACAAAATCGAAGTATTAATCCACACATTACATTAATTCTACCAGAATTTTACAAATCCTACTGAAAACAGCAGACAATTGTTTTGGCTACTTCCATGTGGGAAATATTAATAAATTTAAGAAAACACTAGGGCTTGGTTTTGGCAATGCATAAGAAAATTTGTGAAAGACTAGTATTTTCAAGGAGAAAAAGAAACACTAAGGTATAGTTTCACACCATGGTAAAGTTTACTAAGGTAAAGTTTAACCCCATGATCCTTTCCAGTGGCTTTTTTAGTACAAATAGTTGTAAGATGGGTGGTGTAAGTTACAGTCTGTGAAATGGAATGGTTTTCGGCACTTTTCCCAACTCCAAATATATGGAAATTCATTGTGCTCCAGCAAGCGAGCCTCTCCTCCCACACGCATTACAACAGTGCCTTCTCGATCTGGAGTGGTGCGAGGTGCACCTGACCACCAGCGCTCTCCCTGAGGGACCAGAGAGCACCCCGCTTCTCTCCTGACAGGAGCCCAGCCCTGCCCTCAGCCCGCTCTCCCGTCAGCTCCCAGCAGGCACTGGGCCCCTGAGCTGGGCAGAGCACCCACACGAGGGCAGGAGAAGGGGCTCCAGCCCACCCCTGCCCTCTAAAGGCAGCAGGTCGCCTCTCCTCTCTGGCCACAGGGACATCAGAGGGTGACACCCTCTAGTCTGGCAGTGACCTCTGGTCTGTGGGGAAGCTGTGAGCTCAAGTCCCCTTTCTGGAAAGACTCTTCCTGAGAGGAACTTTCGACCTCTGACCATTCTGAGGCCCTCAGAGAGCTGGGTGTCTCGCTCAGCCTTCCTCAGCATTGCAGCCTGGGGACCGTGCCCCAGGGTCAGCCACTCTGGCCTCGCTGAGATGGGAGAAACTGCAAGATCATTTAGTTCTGGTTGTTTTTCATTTAATGACTCCTTCCTCCATTTCACTCTCCTCCTCTGCTCTCCTCTCCTCTCCTCTCTCTCTCTTCTTCCTAGCCTCCTCCTCTTCCTCCTTGTTCTTCCTCTCTCTACTCTGTCCCTATTTCTTTCTATCTACCTACCTACTTATCTTGCTCTCATTTTTTTATCTCTCTCATTTCTAAATGCCAGCACGGGGCTTAGACACCTCCTCAGCTCTGTCTCACTCCCTGAGGGCTGCTTCCTCCACCCCTGGTCTGGCCTGGCCCCTCGTCCCAGTCCTGCCCAGGGCTGGTCCCGATAAATCACTGGCTGCTTCCCATGAGGCCAAACACAGGCCTCTTGCAGCTGTAAAATGCTTAACCTTGGCTTTGAAAAACAGCAAGAAACAAATTGTATTTCAGAAGCATATTTTGTTTAAACCAAACATTTGAAATATTGTCATTTACGTGGACTGCCGGTGTAAGAATTCCCGTGAGTGCTCCACGTTCTTCCCTTTTCTCTTCCTCTCCCTCCTCTCATTATTGCTCTTTTTCTTTCTCCTCACCCTGCCCCACTGAGGATGGAGCCCAGGGCCTCACCCTGACCCGAACTCATGCTCAGCCCTTATTCATGTCCTTACTTACATTTGAGACAGAGTTGAAAAGTTGCTTCCCTTGTAAACCTCCTGCCTCAGCCTCCCTGTGCACCACCACAGCTGGCTGCCCTTTGGCATGGGAATCCAAAGTGTGCATCCCACTGAGAGCGGGCACCTGAAGAGCACCTGCCTCTGGGAACTCCAGCCCAGCGGTGGCCTGGCTTCCTCCTTAGTGTGGAGCCCTCAGCACCTGAGCACTGTGCAGGGGGACAGCAGCTCCAAGAGCGGTGCCCTACACTGGCGGCCCCTCACAGGAGCAGACAGGCTCCCAGCATCCGGATCACTTCAGGGGCCACAGTGATGTGACCCCAGCACCACCAGTGGCCCAGTGTCGTCCACTAGGGAAGACTCAGAAGAGGCTTTGGCCAGCAGAGCTTTTCCTGGCAGCTGCTTCCTGAGGAGATAACACGGGTACCTGCAGGCGCAGGACAGTGGACACCACGGAGTCTGATGCTGTAAGCTCTGCTGAAGGCCCTTTATCTGGCTCTCGGCAGGCTCCAAGCAGCAAGTTCCTTTTCGGAGTGCCTTCTCCATAAGGAGACACGCCGCGGGAGCCCTGTTCACATCCCTCCTCCTGGGTCCCAGAGGTGGGGCCATGCTGCTCCTCCGAAGGGCTCAGATCCACTGCTGCAGCCAGGCCTGCTGCCCAGGGTCCCTCCAAGGCCACAAGACCCAGCCTTCCCCACCCAAGGGCCGGGGAGGAAGCCGGAACCCTTGGGGTGACTGCGCAGCCCTCCTGCCTGAAGCTGCACAGCCAGTCAGGGCTTCCGTCAACAGATGAGCCTCCAGGCCGAGACATCACCTTTCTTCTTGTTAGCACCAGACGAATGTTGCCGTAGCTCGGTAATTACATGAGTGATTTCATCCGAAATGATGCTTACTTCATTTAGGAATATGAACACAGCTATTATGACTCTTCCTAGAGTAAAAACATATGAGCTGTTTAAAAGTGCGTGAATCTCTTTAACCGGCAGCAGAGATTCAAAATCACCAGCCAAGAAGAACACAGAGTGTGTCTTTCTGTGTGTTAAGAGCGTGGAAGTGGGAGATTCACCAGAGTTTGGCAGAGAGCAATGGTGAGAATTCTCCCTGGTGCTAATGTGCTTCCTTCCACTGGGCGCCGGTCCTTCCGGTTGCCCTCCCACGGAAAGGGTACAGGAGTGAAGGGAAGTATTGCTTGCAGCTGTCACCATACTTACAGAAGAGCTCATCGGAGCCAGCAAGGGTCACAGAGTCCAGTAATTATTACTTTAGAACTCTAGGTTAGGTTGGGAAAGAATCACCTACCCTTCACTTACTAACTTGTCATGGGCTGAGAACCGTTAAAGCCTTGTAATTTCTAAACCTGTTTGCATGCCGGAATGATCTTTAAAATAGTAAAGAAGAGATTATTGGCATCTGAAAGATGATTCATTCCACTAGATTACAGGTCCAGTGTCAAATGATTCCCAAATCATGGCTTCTGTGCTGATTATTCGACTAAGTAGCTACTATTTGGAAGTTGGAAGAAACACACACAAGCCGAGCATAGTGGTGCATGCCTGTAATCTCATCACTATGATAAACTGAGGCAAGAGGGGCTCAAGTTCAAGAGCAGCCTGGGAAACTTAGTGACTTAGCTGTATTGTCTCTCAGATTAAAAACTGAATCTTGGGACTGGGAGTGGAGCTCACTGTGAAGGTCCTGTATTCAGTTCCCGGTACTGCAAACCACACACACATGCACATACACACGATTATTAACATACACACAATTATTAATTTTGAATTCTAGTAACTTTCGAAGAATATTCATTATTGTATCCAGATTCTTGTACTTTATTCTTTTTATCTTTAGGGTCACTTAGGAATAAATATTTTTCCTCCATATTAATTGTTACTGTTACTGGCAGTAATAAATTTTCTTTTTAAATTTTTTTTAATGATGTAAAGTTTTACTCACTATGTAGTTGAGACTGTCCTAGAACTCACTAGGTAGCCCAGGCTGGTCTTGAACTCACAGGGATCCTTCTCTCTCAGCCTCCTGAGTGATGGGATTATAGGCATTTGCCACCACACCCGGCCAATAATAAATTTTCACACAATACATTACGCATTATATTATTAATTTACTTGAAATAAACCTTCACATGAGTCCAGATAGATATCCTATTAATTTAAGTTCACATGATGAAGATATTCCTGTCCTTTACTAACCTGAATAACTAAATGGTTCCTAGAACAAAAGCAATTTCCTGGAACTGAACATAAATAAACAAATAATCTGTTCACATTAAATGAGATAAATCATGTGAAATAAATGTATTTTTCACTTAATACATATTCATTAATTAAATGGAGAAATGACATATGTTGGCATTGAAAACTGATTTATCATCTCCCTGTCCACTTTATCCTTTAATGTATTATATTTTCAACTTAACATTTTGTGAGTTCTAGCTTTAGTTGAAAATGTATAGATTTAAGAGAAATTTGAGTTTAGAAGCTTAGAACTCTGTCCAAAGAGTGACATCCATTATACATTAGGTCATGGTTCTTAATCCAAGGACACTTACTACACATGTAAGTGGACACCACTCCCAGTAGGTGAGCCGCCCTATTTCAGGGCCAGGGCTGCGGCAGGAGTGGAAAGAGACACTCAGTTACAGTGTGGACATGCACATCTGCTGTCCAGCGATGGGTGCAGGAAGAGCTGGAGCGGAGACTTCCTTGGTTCTGGTACACTGTGAATACTTGTGCTGCTTAATAGAATGTTCTTGTGATGCTTTGGAGACCTGTTTAGCACAGGAGCAACTGTAAGGGAAGAATTTTCCCTCATCCAAGGGCACCAAATGGTCCCGTGTCTATGAGAGCAGGGCTCTCCTCTGTGCCCCTCCCTGAGGGAGACACAGCCCACTCAGCGTGGAGGCTGACACTGGCCGAGTCCGTGTGCAGGGAGAGGGGCCTCATGTGGCTCAGAGGCAGATGAGGATGGAGATGAGATAGACAGGAAAAGGGCAGCCAAGCTGGGCTGTTCAGCTGCTCCTTAAGAAGGAGAATCAGAGGGAAGTGGGTGCAGGAGGATCATGTGAGATAAGGTGGCCACACCTACCCCAAAGGCACAGCAGACATTTATTAAGGAAACTATCGATGTCAGGAATTGTTCCTGATGTCACATGATAAAAATGAGCAAAACAGACCAAAACCACTGCCCTGAATATGTCCACTGATTTCATTTCAGGTAGTTGATAGCTTGCTTAAAAATGCATGTTAAAAAAAAAGTAAAACTATCTTGTTACTTCCTTGATGCAAGGAAAGCACTCTATGGATTTAGTTGACAGGTGGTTGTAGAGATGACTCCGAAGGGCCAGCTCGGGCCTTGCCCTGTGTGAGGCCCAGTGCCGAGAGAGCATGGAGACTGGAGACGTGCTGCTCTTCTAGGCTATTTCACACTCAGTGGCTTGATCACAGAAGCAATCACTATGGGTCATGGTCCCGCAGCAGTGGGTGAGATAAATTTTATGAAATTTCGGGACCCATTTTAATAAGTCAAGTTGGGATCTCAGCTTCAAAGCCTGCTGCTGGGACAGGGAGGAATAGGGTCTCACTGTGGGAGACAGCTGGGCCGCTGAGGGGTGCACAGGTGGCAGGGGCTTGGGGCACCTGGGGTCCCCTTGCACATTCTTCAGATGTGATTTCACAGAGTTTGAAATATTTAAAATAGCAGTGTGGTTAAATACACTCATCATTTAAGCAAGAAATATATCTTAGGTAACACTAAATTATGTTTTGAACAGCTCTTAATCAGAAAATATGGAAAGCTGTTTAAAAGTAACAGAAAGTCATTGTAATGTAAATTGTGCTGGTAATAACAGTCTAAGATACGGTGGACCCTTGATTTACAAATTCAATTCATTCTCCAGGGCTGGTTGTAACTCAAGTTGGTCAACTGAAGGCTGAGGCTCCTCTACACAGCCTTCAAAGCCTTTCTCCTATACACAGGCAGATCTCAGTGTCCTTAGAGAGATGCTGGTCCAGGGTTTCTCAGTAAGCCCCACACAGGAAAAGATGTTGTCATGTTGCTTCCAGAGCTCTTTATGGGTTAGATCTGTGTCTGAGACCATCTGGAAGCACAAGCAGCCAGTATCTGGGATGTAACTCAAGCTTTTGCCATAAGTTAAAACTAAAATTCCAGTTATAACTCAGATTACTCGTGTGTTAGGCTGGTTGTAACTTGAGGGTCCACTATAATCCAATATTGCTGACCTCAGTGTGCTGCAGGTAGATTTCACATGTGAAGCTCCTGATCCTCTCTGAGCACAAACTCCTAAGGCAGACCAGTTAGCCAGTGAAGACCTGTGTACAGGGAGGGTCCATGTCAGGACCCAACTCGCTCAGACAACCTTTGGAAAGAAAAATAATCTTTTCTCCATCTTCACTTAAAAATGTGGCTCACTTGGAGCACAAATGCGAGTATTTTAAAACACATTTATTAACGTGTAGTATTCTAAATTTTTAGTTGCATGTTTCTAGAGTAAATGCTAAGCAACTGGGTAGTCATCTGTGGTGATAGCATCTCAGTTTTTTATGATCCAGACAATAAAGAACATATCTGTTGTAGAGGTTGTACAAGTGGGGAGAAGGAAATGCTGAGAAGTTAGGAGCCTTATAGGAAAGATGAAACTGCAGCTTAGTAATTACAAGAAGATGTATTCCTAGAAATAGAGTCTCTCTCTCTGTGTATCTCCATGTCCATCCTTGGGAGAGTGTCTAGCTAAGTCACCAAATTGTCCAGGCTAAACTTGAACTTGTGATCCCCCTCCTCAGCCTTCCACAAGCCTGGGATTACAGGTGTGTTCTGTGGGGCCCAGCTATCATCTTATACCAGTGCATGTGGAGGAGATAAATGTATATGCCCAGAAACATCAGGAAAGGCGCTACTGAGTGACTGCTCCTGACTCCCACAGAAAGTCCACCATTCAGAAGTCCAGGCCTGCCAGAGGGACAGCTGCATCTCCTAGAGCAGTACTGACCCAAAGCCATTGCTCGACCAGGGGCCGGACATGGCAGGATCATCACGCATCAGCCAGACTGGCCCATGTAATGAGGGTGCCTGGGACGATGAGGCATAGCTTTTCCCTACTCCTTCTTGGGGAATTTCTTTCTTTTGCTATTTTAAACCTAGCTTAAATTGGTGTTATTATGACTGGACTCTGGGCTGACATTAGATTTTCAAAGTTTCCCTTTTGATTTGAAAAAGACAAGTTTTTAGAAAAAGAGATCAACTGAAGTCTTTATATCCCAAGTGGCGTCATTTCTGCACCGGTGTCATTCTACGCTCCACTGGGCCATTCATTTCAGCTGGAAGAAGCAGAACACAATATTCCTCTTTTGCTTTTTGAGCCACCATTTCTATTTTCTTTCTTTAAATTTCCAGCAATAATTTAGGTTTTATTTGCATGGTGCTAGAAAGAAATCTGTATGGATTTGTAGAATACAGTCTGATGTTTGCCAAAGGCTTTGGAGAACACCCCCCACCCCGTTCCACCACACTCTTCACACTGGAAGGGTGGCATGTGGGCTTGGGGCCACTTCTCCAGGTATATCTGTGCGCAGTGTGGCTGGGATAACCAGTGTGTGCTGCTCCTGTCTTATTGCATCCATGCTCAACCCAAAGTGCACACAGAATTCTGCACACAGCTCCATGCATAGGAAGGATGTTTTGATTTGTGTTTATTTTAAGTCAGAACAGGACTGATCTGACACTCATGTTATCTGTGGTGCTATCCAAGATTTCATCCTGTGAGTACTAACACCTCTCCAGACTTCCTCCTTAAAGCACTTCTAGATCACACCGAAGATTCCAAGCAATGGTCCCAAGGCTAAGCAAAATCCCCTGGCCAGCTTGAGTTCACAAGCCTCTGTCCATTGTGAGCATTCAAAGCTATGATGTGTTCAGGCTATAAGGCCTTCTCCCCTGGTAAAATGCTGCAGAAAGTAACACTGACTCTGTCTGCTTCCAGCAAGAACGTGTGGGTCCAACCTGCGTGGGCCCAGCGGCATCATCACCTCCCCTAACTACCCGGTTCAGTATGAGGACAACGCACACTGCGTGTGGGTGATCACCACCACTGACCCCGACAAGGTAAGGCCCTGGCTCCCACCTCTGGGTGCTGCCTCCCTGCTTCCCAGTCAACTGTTGAACCACACAGCCCGGCAGATGTCTGTCCCATCTGGATTAAAAGGGTCCAGCCGCGGTACCCTTCACACACCCACACCCCTTGTAAAGCAGCCCGACGTGTAGACATGGTGGATATCCTAAGTGTAGGGCATCATTCTGGGTCTGGAGAGGAAGTACGTGGCTTCTTCCGGTCTCTGATGTGTCTTCCTCCTGACCTATTCTGGCCTCTGGCATATCTGCTCCATCAGCCCTAAGCCCCGCCTCTTCCGGCCTCCCTGGGAACGCGCTCCTTCTGCGCTGTCAAGAACCCCCGGGCCATCTGTACAGCCACCAGCGCTAGAACCGCACCTGTGCGTCTAGACGCAAGCTAAGCCCCGCCCGGTGTTTCTAAGTCACCTGCTTGTGTTTGCTACCATAATCTATGTGCTTTCCTACAAGTAAACAACTTTCCGCCCTTCCCAAACCCCTCATCTTAAATGCATTAAGTTGATTATATGTTCCCCGTGTGGTGAGAGGAAAGGAAACCATATTATTTCTCCATATGTTTTGCACACATATTTTGTAATTATGTTATTGCATCTTAAATCACAGGCCAGAAAAACATAATCATAATTGTGTTTCTTTTGCTACAAAATGACTTGCTTTAGTTGAGTTTAAATCCACTATATATAGATGCCTACCAGTGGAACAAGGGAAGTAGTAGGCATAGGCAAAACACCTTTATATTGATTTCATTTTTTTAAAAAAATGGACAGGAAATCATTCTGAATATGAATTTCAAATCAGCTAAATAAGCTAAAATGAGCAATATTAAATGATGTATGGGTAATAGTGTTAAATTTACCAGCCCCACACCCCTTACTGGTTCTGCAATGTCGTGGTAGGACAGGGCTCTGTCAGAAGCACTTGCCTCTCTGTTTCTGGGTCCCACTGCACATCCACCAATGCCTCACAGGTTTCTCCTGAACCTGCCAGGTGCCGCCTCAAAGCAGAAACTTTCTGATTTATATCCAGTGAAGTTTACACCAGATGCCTTTGGGTTTTGTTTGCTTTTCCGAGTTCCAATGTCTGAGCTATTATTTATGTGTAAATGCCAGCTTTAATAAACAGAAATGGGTAAACATCCAGGCAGTTGTGGGCTTTTCTCAGGAGCACGGAGGAATTCCGGGCTAGCATCTCTCTAAGAAAGGCCCCAGGGTCCATTACCATCCTCTCAGTACCCCAGGTCTTGTGCTCCAGTTTTCAATATCTGGGTCTCGGTATCTCAGGTCCTTTCAGCACCCCATGGCCAGCTTTTCCTAGGGTACCAGCTCTCCCATGCAAACCATGCGGACTCCTGTGCTCCAGTCCGTCCCTTATTCACATTTTCTCACGAGGTCCCCTGATTTCAGGGCCCTATTCCCATGTCTTTGGACGCCATCTTTCCATCTTGCAGCCCTGAGAATCTGAGCAAGTCAGCAAAGTTCCCAAGCCTCAGACTCCTCGTGTATTGTAGAGACAGCGAGAACGTTTTCCTTTGAGGGTGACTAATTAATAAAACTAATTAATATGTGTGCCTAAGTGGGGGCAATAGCATCATCTGACTTAGAACTAGAAGTGTTAACACGAATAGGCACAACATAAGAAATTGACAATTTGATAACAATTTACCATCGCATTTATTCATCTACCAAAATGAAGAGGACTTCAGAATGCAGCGTAGTCCTGGGGGTTAGATAGAGAAAGCTTCAAGAGGGAGCACTGAAGCAGTTGGGCTTTTTGAGGGGTGTGGCAGATGTTGCATTGAACTAACACCAAATATGGAATATCCACTACCAGGGGCATCCAAATTTAAAACGTGTTTATGCCATGGGTTAGACTTGCTATGGAGCCCGGTGTACGTCACTGGGTACCTGTAGGTTGCTGAATGAGTTACTTTTGCTGTTAGAATAAACAGAGGGAATAGGCTAATGTCTATCTGAGGCATTTCCAATTCACAGCCTATGAGCAACTTACGTCCCCAGACAGCCAGTAATGTGTCCCCAAGGATGTTATCTTCCTAGCACTGTTCTGTGACCTTTAGCACACACTGAGTAGGGGACAAAGGTGTGTATGCAATTGGTGAGTAAAATGCAAGGATTGGCAATGCACATAATAATCCACGCTACACACACAAGTGTGTCTGGAAGATGAGTGTTCATTGTTACAAAGCAGGGATGGGCATTTTCTAATTTAATTATTAAACTGGGCTTGCTGTGATATTTCATGAAGTAATTTAACAACTTATGTAGTTTTGTTGCTTTTATACATTATTTATATATTTTATAAAGACCGAAGGTAATTCCTCTTTATTCAGTATGACCCAGACTAGCCAAAAGGTTGGACACTGAGGTGTAGATGTTCCATGAAAGTTACATGTGTATATTGCAAAGAAAGGAGATGCAGGTGGAGATGCCAGGAGCGTGGAAAGAGACCCAGGAGAGGCGCAGTAGCAGGGAGATGGGCAAGGAAGATGAGCCCGTGGTGATTCTTCACAACTCTGGGGAGTTCCCGGCAGGAAGGAGCAAGCCCGGCCATGTGATACCCTCAGTGGGATTTCTCTCTGTCCCTTTCTGTGTGCAGGGTCATGAGCCTGTGAAGGAGGCTCTGATTTAGGGACCTGGGGGAAGATGAGCAGGAACCCTGCCGGCCTTTCCCGTGGAGATGGAATGTGGAGGCCGAGTTTGGTGCCTGACTCTGGTGCAGCGTGGCACCTGGTGTGGAGTGGGCAGCATGCAGCAGTGGGGAGAAGCCATCCCAGACACCTGCCCGCTGCCGCAGCGGAGAACCTGCCCCAGCTGAGCACTGGGTGTGAAGGGCAAGCAGACGAGACGCCCCCTGCTGGTCAGCATCGTCTCTCAGGGATGCTCTGCCCTGCTGGCCTCTCTGGCAGGGATGTGGGCAGCGGGAGAGATGAGGAAGCTGTGAGGTCACCTTCCTAGCATCGCTCCAGCCCCCCAGAGATCCGGTCTCCTTGCACTTTCACTAACAGTTCCGCATTGGCCTCTGTCGAGGTTTGGAAGGGTGGGTGGGTGAATTAGTTCACTCTCCCTACTTTAAACCAGGAGAAGGACCCCGAGAAGCATTTTTCAATGGGGAGTTGTGAGTTTGGCTTTAGGTGTAATGAAAGTGTTTCCCCAACCACGTGCACAAGTGGGTGTGACTCATGAGTGAGTTGGGAACTCACAGGTGTGAGATGTGACTGCAGAGGTGAATTAGGAACTCCCCAGTGCCAGCGAGTGTAACCAAAGATGTGCACTGGGAACTCAAGAGTGTTTTGCGAGCTGAGGAACTCAGGAATAAGAATGGGGCCATGCAGGGAAGCCGAGCAGAGTCAAGGCAAGCGATGCTAGTGGTATTATCACCTTCCAAGGTCACATGGAGGATGTCCTCAGGAGAATGGCCTTGCAGTAAGTGCCATTAGTTTTAGAAGCTGCTACCATGAAGAGCCATCTCCATGAAGTTTCAGTGGAGAAGATAGGGCCTCCAAGTTAAATCTTCAGGTAATGGCAGGAGCACCTTTCTAATACTTCCAGAACTCACCTGATCCAGATTACATCCACAGAGAGGCTTTGTGTGATTCACTGAGACATGCATGTGTGTGTGGGCTTCTCTTTCTTTCCTGTACAAACCAGAATCACTAAAAGTGCTCATCCAAAGGAAGCCTGGAGATCAGATTGTTTCGCCCCTCACCAGGCAGAGAGGAAACCCAGGTCCTGCAGAGCTGAACTCCAGTGTCCCCTTGCTCCTGCTGAGTTTCTGGCTTCCTGAAAGAAGAGTGATTTCCTTTCAAAGCTCTCTTTTCTATTATAACCTGGATGAGCACCACAAGGGAATGAGATAATAGGTTATTCACTGTGCAGGCAGGAGGATTCTGGAAGTCAAATGTTTTAGAGCCGATTAAAAGCCAAACATGGGGAGAACATTTGCTGTGTAACAGAGTGCAGCACTGGAAGTTGCAGTTCCACTCCGCAGCTCAGCGATGGTCTTGACCTTTCTGGCACTCACGTTCTCTCTGGCTTGGGGTTCTCTCAGGGGTGGCATCTGTCCTCACAAGGCAGGACTGCTGCACTCCGCAGGTTTTAGTCACAGGAAGACTCAGGGTCAGTGCAGGTAGGAGGCACGGTTTACCTAGGCTGCACACGGTTCCAGGATTTGCTTAACTGGCTTCCATCATGTCCTCTTGAGTCTAAGTTTTTCACCCCCTAAGGTAGCATGAGGAGAAAACTTTCTGGGACTCAGAGAGAAGGGCAATAGCTTCTGGGCTTCCTAATGTGCCACTCACAGACAAACAAAATACCATGACAATGGCTTTCAGTGGGCACTGGATTCACCTTCTGTTCATGCCGTACGTCAGAGCTTTTGATCTACCTCTCACCAGACCCCAGGGGCTAGCAGCAGCAAATACCTTAGACTCCTGTTCTTTGGCTTCTGCAATTTGATTTTTAAACTTGTCCAAACTGTAAAAAGGCAAGTAACGGACTTGGGTGGGTGGGTTTATCCTTGTTTTGAAAGATTAGCTTTTCTCTGCTGTCTTTGTGGTACTTTTACGTAGAGTATTATAAAGATGGTTAACTCTGAAACACTCCATAATTAACAAGTTAAATTTCAGGGATTTCACATTATATTACTTCAGAAAAGTCTTTGTCCTAAATTCATTCTGTGGAAATGTTCAGAGAGGTGCAGAATATTCCAGTTAATGTACTCACACACCAACACACTCAGAAAACCACTTAGACACCTGAAGGCATCTCAATTAAGTAGAATTACCATCCAAATTAAGCACCAGTCATTGCCATTAAGTATAATTAGCTTAATTTGATTCCTTGGGAGACATCACAAATAAGCAGGTTCTGTGACACAGTGCAGGGCTTGGAAGTGGGTTAGAACCAAGTGCAGAAGGAAGGAAAGGACAGGAACACATGCTTCTGCTTGTAAATGTTGAT